ACTTACCTCTAGAGCTCGATGTTAAGCTCAAGTCACTGCCATGCTGTCCTCTCCCCCACTTTCCTGGATCCTTACCCAGTGGAGCCAGTCCCTTGGATTTTGAGGTTACTTTCTAAGAGTCAATCTCTCTCTGTCTCTGCCTCTATCTCTACCTCTGTCTCTGTGTCTCTGTCTCTGTCTTTGTCTTTGTCTCTGTCTCGCTCATCACTCACATTAAGGGAAGCAATGTCAAGAGCAGCATTATGGAGAAGTCCATGTGGGAAGAACAAAACCCTTCACAACCAGTCACCATGTGAGGCAGCCTGGACCCTGCAGCTCTAGTTGCCTTCAGACTGCAGCCTTCACTGATCCAGAGCCACCTGGCACTGCTCACCCTCAGACACTGTGAGAGAATGCATGTTTGTTGTTTTAAAGTTTTAAATTTGGAGTAATTTGTTATACAGCAATAGATAACAAATGCATGCAGCTTGCCTCTCTCTCCCGACCAATTCCTACTTGTTCTTTGTGTCTTGTCTCAGATGCTTCCTCCTCCTGGAAGCCTTCTCTGGCTTCCTGTCTCAACTCCTGGTGATTTAGCCTTAATACCCTTTCTGTCTTCCCTTCCTAAAAAACCCACTCTCTCCCATCTGAGTCCATGCACGTACAATGAGGCTGACTCCCCCCCTCAGGCTCCAGGGGCTGGTGGTCAGCCTAGACCTGGCCAATCAGGATGTCCATTCTCCTGGAGCCACTGCTCAAGGCTATGACCTAAGCCAGGCCTTGAGGGTGAGCCCAGCAGCCTTTGTAGGAGGTATTAGGAAAGAGATGATCTTTATCTGTGGGAGATGCTGGGTGGGAAAACGTGACTCTGGACCTACATTCATCCAGCACAGGGGGAAGGTCCACCTGAGATGTGGCCAGAAGGAAGAGACGAGCTGGAGGATAGGAAGGGACAGATTCCTGATGTAACTGTTGAAGCATCTGGATTCCGCTGTGCCTGAAACCCACATCTATCTCTGCTCCTTTTTTTTCTTTCCTGTGATAGTGCTTTGCGATGATTTCTGTTACCTTCACCTGAAAGGGGACAGACCAATTCGTCTCCATGGCTGGAATTAGCTCCTGCCCCTGACTCCCAGACCTGGGTGCTTCTTGAACTTTATACACAAAACTGCAAGAGGACTTGGTACTCCTGCCTGATTTTTGTACCACATATTTGCTTGCCTCCTCCTCTTTCTTAAATTCAAAGCTACAGCATATTTATTTCTACACCTAAAGCACTGCCACAAGGAGGTGGTTAGTGAATAATTGAATAGTGAGTCAATGAATGTCTTCCAATTGGTCAGGAGACTTTAATAGAGGGAAAAAGAGTCACATCTTCAGAAACCTGCTTGTTATCAGAGCAGTGTTTCCAAGTGCTCTCTAGGTTGGCAAAGGATTATTTTTTTGTAAACTCTTTTCATCCAGATCATGGCTAAGCCAGCCATGCCCATGGAACAGAAACCATCTCCCACAACAGAAAAACAAATCTGACCCAGATTTTTCATGCTTAAAACAATTTTCAATGATGTTTTTGGCAGGAGTGGATTCAGGGAATCTTCTACATTGTAGGACAGTTTATTGCTTATTGATCGATTCATTCAGCAAGCTTTAATTGATACCTACTATGTGCCAAGCATTAAGCACACTATGTCTTCTTCATGGCCAGCTTCTAGGTGTGGTTGCTGCCTCTTACCACATAGCAATTATCCTAAGCTTGGAGGCTTGAGACAACACATGTTCACATCTCCCGGCATCCAGATGCGACTCAGCTAAGTGCCTCTGGGCCACAGGGTGCCCTGAGGTCGCCATCAAGCTGTACAGCGGGGCTGTCCATCCCACTTCCAAGCGCAGTCATGTGGCTGTTGTCAGGCCCAGCAGATTCACTTACTTGCAAGCTCCCTCACAGGGCTTCTCCCAGGGCGGCCTCACAATACGGCAGCAGGTATCTCCACTGGGCAGATGATCTGAGAGTGTACAGAGGGAAGTCAGACTTTATAATACAACCTTAGAGGTAACATGCCTATCACTTCACCGCATCCTGCTCAGTAGAAGCAAGCTAATAAGTCCAACCCACATTCACAAGGAGGACGATCAGAGAGGGTCTGAATACCAGGACATGGAGTCATCAGGTGGTCTCAGAAGCTACCTGCCACAGGTAAGGTATTCTTAACTTTCATTTCATATCTAGATCCCAGCTAGTGAAACAACTTGTCCAGATTACTCAGCTAGAGAGTTTTCTGAAAAGTAGTTTCCTATTTCCCCAGGCTAGCTGGGAGTGAGATGAAGGAAAGCAGAAAGAAAGTATTGATAGGAAAAAAAAATAAGGAGAGAGTTTGTATTAGTTATCAACTGATATACAGTCGATTAACTCACAACTTAGTAGTTTAGTGGCTTAAAATAAACATTTATTAACTTATAGTTTCTATGGGTCAGGAATTCAAGAATAGCTGAGCTGGTCTGGCTCAGGGCAGTAAGCTGGATCCATGGCAAGTTTGGGGATTCAGTCTGGTTTTGTTTTTTGTTTTGTTTTGTTTTTCTTTCAGTGCCAGGAATCAAGCTCATGACCTTGCGCTTGCCAGGCAGGCACTTTGCCGCTGAACTAAATCCTCAGCCCCGGGGATTCAGTCTGGACAGAGGATAGGCTTCCCAGATGGCCGTCTCAGATGGCTGATGGCCAGTGGCTTTAGTGCCCCACCTCAGGAACCCATGCTCAAGTGCCCTTAGGATGTGGCACTTTGGCTTCTTCCTCCTAGAACAAATGAGGCAAGACAGCCTGAACAGAAGGCGTAATGTCTTTGGTGACCTAACTTCAGGAGTCACACACTATGACTTCCGCAATATCCTGTGGTTACACAGGTCAGCCCTATTCACTGTGGGAGGTGATTACCCAAAGGTTTGGGGAGGCCCAGAGGTGAGGCCCACTGGAGGGTGGCCATGACAGAGTCCTGCAAGATTAATAATCCTCAGACTCAACTGTCACTGCACCATTCCCTGGCTCAAAGGGGTCCAGAGTATTCCCATGCTTGGCAGCACACAGACAGATTTCTTTAGCTCACGTGCCCTACTATCTCTTAGAGGGATGGACCAGACCTCAGTAGTCTCCCAGAGATCTTCACCCATGTGTCCACCCCACCCCCATGCCCTCTGTTCTAGGGAAAGGCCTGCCACACTGACATTTTGCCTTTGACACGTGTCACAAGCAGGACCTGACCGGATATGGGGTTATGAGGGTGAGCAGACACACACTCTCCCTCAGAGAGCTTCCACTGAAGGCAAGGAAGTAGGTACTAGCCAATTAACAATCTAACCACAAATTATGCCACATTCTCTCAAGGATAAGTGAAAATCCAAAATAATAGTAGCTTAAATAAGGCAGATGTTGATTTCTGTCTTGTCTAGGAGTCTGGACAGGTGTGGTACCACACTCAGGCCCCTTCCATCTTGTCTTCTGTGTGGCTTTCTCATCTCATGGCCCAGAATGGTGACATTGCTTCTGTGCAGCCAGATGAAGAAATGGACACAGAGGGGAAAAGTATATATTCCTGAAGCCACCACGAGACACTTCCCCTTACATCTCACAGTCACACAGCCACACTTAGCTGCAAGGGCAGCTGGGAAAGGCAGCTTTTATTCTGAGCACCCACAGGCCCAGCCAAAAACTGAGCACTTTAGCCCCATACAAAACCAGCCACACCCGTCAACCTTATCAAGCATTCACTGTGTGCCAGGCACTTGTTGCCTTTGTAGAGCGTGCCAAGTGCACCTCTGATTCAGCAGGTCAGGGCTGGGCATGAGAATCTGCCCTATGATGCACAAGTAGCTGGTCTGTGGCCCACATTTTGGAAAGGGATGATTGGATTTCTAGTTCTGGCTGAGATTTGCCCCTTTCTTGCTCCCAAGGGCATCAGGCCACTTGTGAAGTGAGTGAGCAGAGGGGAATGCAGGAGGGTGGAGGGAAAAGTGGTTAGGCTCAGTGCATGCTCCAGTGCTTGTCCACTGCCACCGGCCACCCCGCCCCTGCTGCGCTGGCCCCTTCCAGTCCTCAGGAACAGGTATGAGGCTTCTCTTTGTAGACAAAGAATCTGCCCGCTGGACCTGTTCTTTGAACATGAGCCCTTACCTTCCTGCCTGGGTTTTTTCAAGCTCTGTCACCACAGACTTAAAGAAGGAGCCAGCGACAGAGTCTGGGGGAAGTTAGAATGAGACCCTACATAGGTCTACTGTTCAACTGCTTCCCCCGCAACCTCGCAATCACGGAGGGAGCTGCTCTGTATTTCTGTATTTTTGAGGCAATGAAGTTGGGGGAGGAGGACAATAGACACTGCTGCCTCCAGCCAAGTCACAGTGCAGAGTCTACCTCTGGACAGCCCTGCATGTCCTCGTCAGATTGGGTACTCAGTGAACGCGGCTGGAGGGAACCACGAGTGAAAGTTGTGAGCAAAGACAGCTGTCCGCCAACCACAGTGGCTTCCGGCTGGCAGACGAGCCCTTACTAGATGCACTGTTCTCTCATTTGACCCCCAGGAAACACCTCTGTGAGCAGATGTCATCATCTTTCCGCAGATGTGGAAAGGAGTGGACGTGGGGGCCTCAGAGACGCCCAGTGATTTCCCCAGAGAGGCACACAGGGGTGGTGGTGGGTCGGCCGTACCCATCCAGGCCGGCCAGACCTCCGTCTCATAGTATTAGGCCGCTGCTCAGGGCTGGACGCTGTGCATGGCCCAAACTCGGGCCACCCCATTTCACCTTCCCTTAATGAAATTGTTTCACAAATGCAACAACAGGTCTATGCGAGGCAGAGGCCACCCAGAAAAAAAAAAAACGAAGCAGAGGCTTAAAAGAACTAATGCCCGAATGCCAGAGTCTTTGGGGGAACCCCACACCGCACCCACACGCACACTACGCCTATCCCCCCCGCCCCCGGTGCCTCCCGCGGACCCCTTTTAACGGCAGCGCAAAGGGGCGGCGGGGGCGCGGCGGTGCCCAATGGGCTGCGCGGAGCGTCACTTCCCGGCGGCCGGAGGCGACTGGCGAGTGGCTGGGGCGGCGCGGGGGCGGGGCAGCCGAGCAGGCGTTGGCGGCGGGCTTGGACCCACGCGGCGCCGCGGCCCCCCCTGGCCTGCAGCGCTCCCACCCCGGCGGCGGCGGCACGATGCCCTTTGACTTCAGGAGGTGAGTGTCGCGAGCCCTGTCACCGGGAGCCCCTTCTGCAGGCCAGAGGGACACCCGGCCCGCCGCGGACCCCTCCCGCCCTGCGTGCAGACGCAGCCCCCCAGCCTGGTGCAAGTCTGGGGAGGCCTTCGGGGACCCGGTCATACACGAAGCCAGCCAGAGCCACAGAGGCTCCGGCGTGCAGCCGGAGACAAACCCACCCACCGTCGCTCTGCAAAGCTCCCGCCCCAGCCAGCCCGGACACCTTGCATTCCCTTCCCGCAGCACGGGAAACAGATTTATTCCATGGGAACTAGCATCTCCTCCCTTCAGAGCCTCCTTCAGCGGACCCCACGCCCCTGACAGGTGGGGCCACGGCACCCTGCCTGAGCGCCCACAGCTGCACGGCTGGCCGCTCCAGCCTTCCCGGCTGCAATTGGAGGCGTGCAGGTTGACGTAGCCTGAGGCACCCCCTGGCTTAGCAGCTCTGGAGCCCAGTGCCCAGCCGCCCCTCCCCCCGGCCTTGGCGGTGTACTCTGGGTCTGGGGGCACTACGGGAGGGGGAGGAGGCTGGGAGCCTTGGGCAGGGCCCTGCAGAGAGGCCCGCAGCGTTTGGTCTTGGCTTTTTGCAGTCCTACAATGGGTCCTTTGTGGGGTCCAGCTGCCTGGTAGTCCACTGTTGTGCCGGGCCAGGCGTTCTGCAGCCTGGCGGGGTGGGGGGTCTCCACCAGACGTTCCCCTGAGGTATGGAGCTCCAAGGGGGATGCCCTTGGCTAAGGCTAGGAAAACAGCAGAGCTTTGTAGGAGGAACTGGGTTAGAACCTGGTTCAGCTCTCTTCACGGAGCAACTTGGTATATTCTAGAAGGTAAGGGCAAAGGCTTTAAGTTCAGACCTCCACTCGCAGCTGGCTGCCCCCAGTAGAGGTCTGAGCCCTCTCGGTTTCATCACTTGCAAATTGGGACTAAAAATAAGCTCCCCACCTGCAAAGACCAAGTGCATGAGACACCTTAACCGCGTTTGCACGGCTTGCAGCTCAGAAGTAGGCATCACTGCATGCGAGGCCTCTCATGAGTACTTTCCACATCCATAAAGTAGGGATTCCGCTGCCCACGCCATAGGAGGGGTTTCCCCCTCCGCCTTGCAGGGGTGAATGACAGGGGAAAGTGACAGCCCAACCAGAAAGGTCCCTAGCCTGCTGTGACCCCATGGCAGAAGGGGGGATGCTGGGGTGTGGGTGTAGGTGTAGACAGACATCACCTTGAGACCTTGAACAGCTGACGTGTTGTTCCAGCCTGCTCTGGTAGCTGTTGCCGTCTGGCAAATGTTTGCCAGCTTTCTGCTCCTTCAGGAAGCCCTGAGGCTGGTACCCAGGCCCCTAGACAAATGCAGACTGAGGGCAGTTACTGATGGAATTCAGAGGCATTCCTGACACCAACAGTGAGTGTCCCCACCATAAGAGCCATGGCCAGCACATTGATTCCTGTTTCCACAGGGTCACCCCTTAGAATAGATTCCTCCCCCTCCATGTGATGCAGTAAGTTCCAGTGATTTTGATTTTGTTGGAGAAATTTAATTTTGTTTCTGGTCATTTAATCCTTGCACCCTCTCCATCCTCACTGCACAGAGGAGGATGAAGGCTCAAGGGCTGAGGGTCCTGCTCTGGATCTCCTCAGTGTTTGCAGGGAAGGCGAGCCTGGGTCCCAGTGGGAAGTGTGGAGGCCAAGTAAGGTGAAAGAAGGAGAGCAGATGGGACCAGCTCTCACCTTTGGCCTCTGATGATCCTGCCTGTCACCAGCCCTGTGTTAGGCTCTGATAAAGGAGACGTGGCCCAACCATGTGCAGCAGCTGCCCCCGCACTCCCTGGGCATGCTTCAGGTCCTGAATGCCCAGGCGTCATGGGGGCTGCAGCTAAAGGAGGCCTGCTAATAAGTTCCTGGAGAGCTTGGGTTCACTGCAGAATGGTGAGATGAACTCAACACATCACCCATGCACTGTGGAGAGTGGGCCGTGTGTGCCCAGCAAATGTGTCCTCTTAAGGTTTCTTGAGCACAAGACCCAGGGCTTGGTGCTGAGGAAGTGGTGCACTGTCCCCGCACACCTCCCTCCTCTTCAGTGTCCACTCACCAAGCATTTGCTGGGTGTCCTCACTGTGCTCAACCCTCTGCGATCTACCCGTCCTGCGGAGCTGGGTGCCCCGTGATCCATCCCGGAAGAAATGGGAAGAGAACGCGATGGGATTCCCAGGGCTGGGGTGCCAGCCAGTGTGCAGAGAGGGTACCACCACCGCACGAGCATCTCAGCATCTACCCCCTTGTCACCTGAGTGAAGAACTTTGAGTTTTCATTCTAAATCTTAGAATTTGGAGAGGCCACAGTGGCAGCTTTGTCTTGGGCCACACAGTATGCGAGGTGGGGAGGCTGGGATTGGACACCGGCCGACAGCTCAAAGCCTTCACTTTGGGAGAAAAGGCAAAGTTTAGAAGCCCCTATTACTCTGTCTGGTCTTTCAAGTATTGGCAGCCAGGAGTGCTGAGGGGCAAACTATGGGTGGGAACCCCTCACCTCACCCCAGCCATTTCACAGCAGGAGAAAACCGGGCTTCCGGATGCTCTTCTTAAAACAATCTTGCCTGACCTTCAACAGTCCTTGTTTCTTATTGCCCGTAGGGCCTCATGCATCTTATGTAGTTCGGGTGTATTTGCCTGTCTGTGAAATGGGAACATGAACACACCCGGGAAATGAGACTGTTGGACCATGGGTGTAAAGCATTTAGATCCCTAGGGACCATCCAGTAAATTCAGACAGCTATGTCAGTATTTGTGTCCTTTCCTTTAAGGAATAATCATCTCTTAACACTATAATTCACTTAATTATGAAGCTTGTTCTCTTTCTCCTTCCCATTAGGATGGGAGCTCCTGAGGGCAAGGATTTGTATCTGGCTTATTCAAGTACATTCCCAATGCCTAGAACAATACTTGGGCCAAACTCATCCCTTAGAAATGCTTCTCAAAGTGTGTCAAAGAAGCCAAAAGCACAGCGTGATTGCATATGCCAGTTCTTCCTTTAGTGGGCAGATTTTCAACTATTAGTGGAGAATTCTTTCCCTCCTCCCCTCCCTTCTTTTTCCTCTCATCCTTGCCCTCCCTTCTCTCTCCTTTTTCCTTTCCTTCCGTCCTTCTTCCCTCCCTCTCTCTGGAGATAGAACCTGGGGCCTCGTGCATGCTAAGCTCTACCACTGAGCTTCAGCCTGAGTCCTTCTCCTCTGTCCTTGAATTTGCCTTTCCTAAGTTTTTGGCTTGATGGAGGAGGTGAATATAGAGGAGGAACCCTGAGCCTTAAACGATTACTTGTGTTTGCTCTTGTTAAACTGTTTCCCTGATAGCTGGATTTAGCACTTGTGGAACTCACCTTGTAACCTAGATCCGGGGGTGTTGTCTCTAGTTCCGGCTGGCCTGAGGCCAAGAGCACCTGCCACCACCTCTCCTGAGGCTTGGACAGTGCCAGACTAGGAGCGGGGGATGGGGGGGAGAATAACAGGGGACAGTCCCTTTGACTTAGGCCCCAGGGAGCCTGCACCCACAGTGGCAGCCCCCAAGTTGAAACTCCGAGTTACACTCTTGGAACCTCAGTATCTCCACCTCCATGATAGAGTAGTTGTAGGGCCAAGTAAGATGTCTCTGCAGTGTGGGCGCAGGGACATAATTTTGGGGCCCAGTGCAAAATGAAAATGTGGGGTCCCTATTGAAAAAGTATTAAGAATTTCAGGATGATGCCAGCAGTGCATTAAGTCAGATGTGGGTCCTTCTGAGCATGTGACCCTGTGTGACAGTACAGTGTGCTGTGTGAGGCTTGCCCTGCTTCTGTCCCTCACTGTGGCTTTTCAGGTAGTCTCTGTTTGTCCAGGAGTCCCCAAACACCTCCTCAGGACCTCAGAGTAAGCTTTCTGAAGTTGACCTGATTTTTTTCATGTCTTGGTTCCAGACTTCAAATGGGTCTCACTATTCTGAGAATCAAGTCTGGATTCGTTAGTGCTCCATGTGGCCTTGTCATGGGGTCCCCGTACCCCTGTGGCCCCCTCACTCCATGCACCAGGCCACCACAGGGGACTCAGCATGGTTAGTACTCAGCAGAGGGTAACCGCTATGAATGTCTGCATTCTGTTCTGCCTCATTCCCAACTGAACTCCAGGAAGCTAACAGTAACACACACTCTACAGCAAGTTTCTAAAAATACAAACAGGCTTAAAAATCAGATCAGAGGGAAAATTTTATTTTTTAAAAGAAAGCCAGGATTTTGTTTATCAAGGACGTACTAGCGCCAGGCACCGTTGTACAGATCTCACATGTGTCAACTCATTTAATCCCCTGGCCATCCCGCCACACTGATGAGCCCGTGGAGGGGCCGCCCGGTGAAAGAGCGTGGCCGGCCTGCAGAGGAGCTGGGGCTGGAGTGCTGCCATCCGGTTCCAGAGCTCCACTGTGTCCTGCCATCTGTCTCTGAAGCTTTTTCTTTTCCATTCACTAAATGCAGAGAGAACTGAAGCCTCTTCTAATCGGATTCACAGGTTTCCTCTTCACTAATGCATAGCCAGTTGTGCTATTTATGAGACTTAAAGTCATCTTTTCTCCCTCCCTCCCTTCTTTCTTTGTTGTTTGTTTTTTGAACTAGCCTCATGTAAGTCGAACACCTGATTCTGGAACTACCTATTACTAAAGCAACCCCCTACCACCACTAGTTTGTAGCATCTCACCTGGGAGTGTCCAGATTTTTCCATGCTGACCACTGGAAGCTTTTGAGTTGAAAGCCTGCATTCAAAAGCCTGCATTCACCTGCTTATCCGGACGTGGCCAGGGGAGAAATCATTCTTTCCCACACAGTGTGGATTCCTGGCCTTGATTCCTCAGTAGCTTGACACAAGGCTTTAGCCAGCTGTGGCCTTGGTTAAGCTCTCCTCTAATAATCTTTTCGAGCTGGATTTTACAGTTGCTGTTAGGTTGTTTTCCCAGATACAGGAGAGTTAG